ACTTTCTAATTTCTGTATTCTAATTTTTTACTTTCATCATTCATTTAATAGGGTATCTATGGCTGGTCTTATCATTCTTGAAGAGTTGAAATAATTTAACTCAAATTACTTGTTAATAGAAAAGATTTAAATAAGTATTAGGGATTGTTATTTAAAACTAAGTCTTATACATTTTAAGAGCAGTGTTTTAGTCATCTTTTTCACCACTGTGACCTAAGAATCCAACCAGAACAATTGTAGTAGAGGAAAAGTTTATTTGAGGGCTCACAGTTTCAGAGGTCTTAGTCCATTGAAGGCTGGCTCCATTCCTCAGGGCTCCAGGTGAAGCAGAACATCATGGCAGAACAGTGAGGCAGAGGGAAGCAGCTCACATAGTGATCAGGAAGCACAGAGAGACTCTGCTCTCCAGATACAAAATATATACACCATAGTCACACCCCAATTCCCACTTCCTCCAGCCAAAACCTACCACTTCAGTTAACACTCAATTTATGCTTATCAAGGGATTAATTCACTAATTAGATTAAGGCTGTAACCCAATTATTTCTTCTCCAAACTTTCTTGCATTGTCTCACACATGAGTTTTTGGGGGACACCACATTAAACCATAATAAGCAGTGACCAGGAAACCAGTATATTGTTATCTCAGTTTGTTTTGGGAATGATTTTATGACACTATGTCTGTTACTTTAACCAGGCAGAAATGCCTCTGATAATCAGTTGATTATTTTGGGCTTTCATGCATAAAGGACATGCAGGAAGAGATCCCACCAAGTACACTTGGGAATGGCTAACATTATTCTGATCTTTGTTTACCTTTAAGAATGAAGGGCTGGGTATCAGGGTGGATTCCCTATGTCTTTGTGCAAATGTTCCATACAAGGTGCCTTCTTGAGTGGGGTTGGCTGGCAGAATGGTCTGTGGGCATGCATGTGAATGGACAGGGTTCTCATTAAAATGGAAGTGCAAGCATTGGTCAGTTCAGTTGCTCCTTTTCTTCCCTGTGTCTAATATCAGTTTGAAGATGGATGAACTCTGTCAACTACTCACATCAAAATCTTCAGCCTTCCCTGATGGCTCATTGCAATTTAGTGAGTGCTGAGTGTCTGGGTGGGACTGACCTACTGTGCTCCTCACACACAAGGAGCAGCAGGATGGAGGGCACAGAGGGAGGCTGATGTCCCCTTCACACACTCACATTCAGTCTGTTCCTTTGTGTCCTTCCCTCCTGCCCTCCAGCACACCTACTCTTTCTCAGCCCAGAGCTTCTCCAGGGTCTGGTGGAACTGGTCTCCTCCACTCACATTCCCACTGCGATCTTCACACGGCTCATTCTGGGCTATGCTTTTCCTTTCTCTGTTTCAACCGTCAGTGGGCTCCTGTCTGCTTTCCATTTTACAATGTTGATACATTTCTCTTATAATTATCTTGCCATAATGAGATTCATCTGTTTATTTCTTTCAAAAATTTTTATGTATTTGTTAGAGTCTGTAAACAAGTCAAAATAACACCTGGCATTTTGCCAGGGGAATGTTAGAGTTCGTAAACAAGTCTGGATGGTGCCTGGCAAAATGCCAGAGGGAGTGGTTTAAGAAGTAACAAAAGCGAGCCATTAAGTGTGGAGATTCCTTATTGGTTGACTGATGTATCTAGTTTATGCTAATTAGATAAGCTGTGTGGAATGTATAAATACTGCTCCTGTCCTGCAATAAACGGCTCCTACTCCTGCTGTATCAATCTACACAAGTTGTTCGTCACCCCCCGGTTATTTTGCTGCAGCCGGACTGCGGCATGTATTGATTTTGTTTATTTTTTGCCTTGAGCCAAGGGAAAGTTATGACTTAACACTTCAACATTATACTTCATTGGTTTCTCAATTTCATGATAATCTCATAGAAACTATTGGGAAAAAATACTCTCTATACTTCAACAAGCAAATTTCTTTAGCTTCTTAAATATGTAAATTCCAAATTAAAATGATTTTAAAAGGAAAAATGTTTGGATTTTTTTAATATGAGTTATACACAATTTTTTTGGGGGGGTGGGTCATTAAGTTGCCCAGACTGGCCATAAGTTTTGGGGCTCTGGCAATCCTGCTGCCCCAGCCTCCTAAGCAGGTGGGACTCCAGGCTTCACCATGCCATGGATGTACAAAATGTTCATCATTGCCTTGATAAAGATCAAACAGATTTTCTGCCACTGAGTAGTAATCAAATGCTGACTTCATCTGAACAGGGAGATAGAATTCTTCTCTGTTGTGAGCCATCCATGAGCTGTGTTTGTGAACTATGCACACTGAAGCTATATGAGGGGACAAGTCTGGCATTGCATGCTGATTGGGCTGCATGATGCAAGTGTGCCTCTCCTGTAGCTCTGCTTGAGATCCCATACAGCACCTGAGATGGGTGTGACTTGCCAAGATGTCAATCAATCTGTTGACCACAAGACACCCAGAAGCAAGACTCTACCTTTGAAATCTTATAGCCTGCCTTATTTGGTAAAGAACTTTCCATGGAAAATCCTTTGTGTGTCCATCCTTCCCCCCATAAAAATAGATTCTGGTGCAGCTCTCTTTTTCCAGTGAGTTGCAGCATAGAAGCTGACCCTTAAAGTTGCAGAGCAGTCCCACCCTCAACCTGAGAAACTCATGTCCATGTGTTGAGTGGTTTCTTCTCTTGTTTTCTTAGTTTAATGTTGCAGCCAGGTCCTTTGAATCCAGCTCATCTCAGTGTCAGGGAAAATGATGGTGAGACTTCTCCTTTTGTGTGTTTCTTTGTTTCTGTTTGTTTCTGAGCAGTAAGGAAAAAGGAAAGAATGGCAGGGAATAAGCAAAGAAGGAAGGTACCCTACATATGTGGACAAATTCCCTGCACTGTGCTCCTTGAGATAAATTGCTGAGAGATTGAATCCTTCCAAGGACACTTATCTTTCAGTTCCCCTTGGGTTGCTTCATAGGGGCTATGCAATTGTACTATATCCCTGTTTGAACACTGCCTTTGCATCCCCCAGCCTTGTACAACAGAGCACCTTCCAAGGCAGTAAATGAGGGCATCTCTCTGCCCTTTGTGCTTTTGGAGTGTTCTGATATTTCCTCACCCCATGCAGTCTTGCATGGCTCTAGGCTTCATGTTCCATACCGCATCCAGGTCACATCTTCAGTCTTCCCTGTATGAACTTCTTCCTCTGGGGCCCATGCTTCTGAGAAGTGTAGATGCTAAAATCCAGTACTAAAATTTGTGGACTTGCTAGATACATCACGAAAGAACTGAATTAAGTGCTAGGCTGTGTGTCTACTCCTGGCCTCCAAAGTTTTACTTACTTAAGAATTTTATTGGTTCCTTATCATTATACCTCATAATGGGATTCATTGTGACATATTTGCACATACACATGATGTAATTTGAAAAAACTAATTCACTTCCAACCTCCCTCCTCAAATCCTCTTCTACTTACTGATTTCCTAATATTACTTTTATTAAAAAGTAATAATATATCTGGTGGATAAGACATGAATACTTGTACTTAGAAAATTTTAATCAGAAGCACATTCTAGAAACATTTAAAATTTCAAACTGACTATATGATTTGGTCTTATATATGTAAGAAACTATATGCAGGATGATGACACAGATTAGACCCCAAGGGAGAAGTGGTTTCAGGCTGGTATGGGTAGGTGTAGTGTTCACAAAGTGGTTCTTCTGGCTTTGGAAAAGGATTCCTGTTGGTTAGGCTCTCATTTCACTGGTGATTCTCTCCTTATTTCTCTTTGTATTTCATTTTTAGGCTCCAATCATATTCTTTTTAAATTTAATTTTATTGTTTTATTAGCTACACATGACATTACAATGATCTTGGAAATTCATACATTTGAATCATTGGAGTATAATTTCTCATTTTATGTTAAAATAAGTTGGTCATATTATTAGGCCACAGAGCAGATTGCTCTCATTTGTTTGGCATGTTTCCCACCTGTATGGGCTCACTTCATGCTTAGCTCATGTGAGGGTCACTGACAACTTCTCCTTTACCTTCTGTAGTTCCGAAAGTAGATTTCTATTACTTCTGGTCTGCTGGTTGTACTCCCTTCTGTCTTACTGAGTTCATGAATATTTGCTACCTTTTTCTTTGGTCTCTTTTTCATTATTTCCAGAATTGGATATTTCTGCCATATCTTCCTAACCCTTATCATTCTACCTACATGTCTCTGTAGGTGGGTCTTGTTAGTCTCCCTTTTAATGTGATGTTTCTATAACTGTGCATAGTATACCAGTCTGTTCCAACCATTGACAATGACAGCAGGACTCTCACTTTCTTTTCTTAAATATGGTACTTCAATGATTTTCTCATAGCCTTAAAAAATATTAGAGTTTTTGAACAGAAATCAAGGAGTCGTCACACTTTCTGACAAAGAAAATTATAGCTTTTATTAGTTTGGGTAGATTGATTAATTAATGACATGTGATCCAGGCTGAGATTTAGTATGAGTCTCTTGTTTATTTTGCTTTTTTGCTTTAGCAACAAATAAAATAATTTGTTTTCCTCACTCTGATGCTTACCTGTAGCAGCACGTGGCCTTATGAAGACTTGACTCAGCCTAAGGCCCCTGATTCTTACCCACTCTGTCTGAGGAATGGCTTTGCAAAATACTATGGAGTATCATCTGTGTTCAGAGTATAGAATGCAATTTTCTGTGACTAATTTTCAGTTAAATTGTTGTTATCTTCTCCTGTTACATAACTACCACTTCTCATGTGCTTTAAGATTAAGTCCCATGTACTGCAGAAGGAGGCATCATCACAGATTCTGAAAGGGACACGCACATTCCCTGGAAGTTGGCACATCACACCTTGACATGGGAAGGGCACAGCCTGTCTAGATCCCCGTCCCGCCTCAGGCCTCCAGAGGGCGATGTTGTACAAGGAGGCGTCAGTTCTCACTGAGCATCCTCTTCAGCCGCGGAGCCCCTCCTCCCTGCCCCTGGCTGATGCTTCCTCACTGACATGTGGTTAAGGGACCTGTCACTAGAACAAGGGACTAGAGAGCATCCACACTGCTGAAAAGGAAAGCCTCTTTCTAACCGTTTGTGAAACTCGTCCAAGCAAGGGACTCGTGCAGCGCCTCCTCTCCACTCAGTGCCCCAGAGGCTCAGCCCCCGCGACCTTCCCACCCGCGGATCCCTGTAGCTTTCCCCACCAGCCATGCTCCTGCTGCTCGTGCCGGTGCTCGCGATGGTTTTCACCCTGAGTGAGTACATGCTGTTCCCTCTCCCCTCCCACCAAAGTGATCGTGTTTTGATTGGAACTGGAGAGAGACGCGTCTTCTCCACAGCCAGGTCTGCGCTGCTTTTCCTTACTCAGCATCAATGTTGCAGGAGGAAGCGGAGCCCAGTCAGTGACCCAGCCTGACCGCCACGTCCTGGTCTCTGAAGGAGCCCCTCTGCAGCTGAGGTGCAGCTACTCATCTTCTGTTCCTCCCTATCTCTTCTGGTACCAGCAACGCCCCAGCCAAGGCCTCCAGCTCCTCCTGAAGTACGTGTCAGGGGCCACCCTGGTGACAGGCATCAATGGTTTCCAGGCTGAACTTAGGAAGAATGAAACCTCCTTCCACCTGAGGAAGCCCTCAGCCCACTGGAGCGACTCAGCTGAGTACTTCTGTGCTTTGAGTGACACAGTGCCTGGGGCTGCAGGGGGAGCTAACCACAAACCTGACACAGGGCACTTTCTGTGACACACAGGTTCAAGCTGGGGAGTTTTCAAGAGGTTTTCCTTTTCTGTGCAGCCCAAGAGGACAGAGTGGCCTGAGTCCTGGGGAATATTTGTCTCCTGAATATTTGCCTCCATGTCTGTGTACTGCCGCCTTCAGACTGGCTGTGGCCCAGATAAAGGTTTTGTGTTGAATTTCTCCGGGAGGGAAACCTGTGTTCCCCCACAACTTCATGCTCCAATTCCCACCTGACACCTGCACTCTGAAGAACATAGCAATAAGGGCTCTGAAGTTAAAAAGGCAGCAGCACTTTAATTTTTAAAAGTCACTTCTAGCATCCACTGTGATGATTAGTGTTGCCTCAAAGGAATTTTATTTAGTGTATGGCTACAGACATCCTCTAGTTTCTTTTTGGTGTGCTATTTCTTCCCGTTTTACTTCTGTACCCCTTTTCATTTCTGTTTGGAGTTTTCCTGACATGACATTTATCCTTTCATTGTCCTTTATTTCAATCAGGTTTACACTTTTCAGGGACAAGAATATTTTAAAGTTATGGTGAAAACACTTACGTTCTACTGTTTTTTAAAACTGCAAGTCTGCAATTCAGTAACTAGGAGCAAAATATAGTACAACAGACCTCTAGAACTTTTTTATATTGTCTAACTGACACTTGGTTCTCCTGGACCAGCATCTCCTGATATCATCATCTTTTTAGTCCCTGGCAACCACCATTCTACTCTGCTATGAGTTTGACTAGTTTTGATACTTCATCTAAGTGGAATCATGCTGTATTTGTCCTTCTAAGACTGGTTTATTTCAATTAGCATGATGTTCACAAGGTTCATCTGTATTGTTACACATGGCAAAGTCACCATATTTTTAAAGGATAATAATATTTAATCTATGTATATGCCACATTTTGTATCCATTTACCTACTGTCTGACATTAGGTTGTTTCCACATCTTGATTGTTGTGAATAGTACTGCAACACACAAGGGAGTGCAAATATCTCATTGAGATCCCAATTTCAATTATTTTGGATAAATACCTAGAAGTGGGATTGTTGTATTGTACAATAGTTCTATCTGTAAATTTTTGAGGAAGGTCCATACTGCTTACCCTAATGGATGCAACATTTTGCAATCCCTCAACCATGTTCAAGGGTTCAAATTTCTCCACTTCCTCACCAATACTTGACTGTCTTTTATTTTCAGACAGTAGCCATCTTCATAGATGTGAGGTAAAATCGAATTGCAATATCTCATTCCTCTGATGACTGGTGAGTTGAGCGCAAAGGACCCTGAAGAGACCTAAGACCATTTTGAGAAGTTAGAACAAACCTGAAGGTATAACACCTCCTGGGTTCTGAATATATTACAAATCTTCAGTAATTAAAACAGTGTGATTCTGTCATTAAGACATATATACAAACTAATAGAACACAATAGAGAACCCAGATATAAGGCCATGAATGTACATTCAACTGATCTTTGTCAAGGATACCAAGCTCACACAATGAGTAATGAAATAAAGATAAATGTTCAATTAAAATATTTCTACAAAGGATTATGTTAATAACTTATGGTTAAACATTTTAGCAACTCATAACTACCATGCAAATCAGTAGGACTGATTAGAAGGAAACTGTTTTTAAGCCAGAGAAGATGAAATGTTACTTAGCACTAATTCATAGTTGAGGAAGCGAATGTGATAGTGTTTGAGTGGTGTTGTTCCTTCCCTGGTCACCATCAGTGGTCCTGTTGCTGAGATGCCCTCTGTGCAGCTAGGAAGCAGCTGGCTGAAAGCCCCAGGAGATCCTGTACACGGGGTATAGAAGAACTTAATTTTCTATTAATTACTATAAACATATTCACATCTGATTGACCTGTGCTGAGAGCTGTGTATAAAATTCAAAAACTGTATTTAGAATAAAAATTATACCTTTTAAACTGAGTTTTCTGCATTTTCAACAAAATATAATGAAAGCTAATGTGCTTGCTTTGGTAATTTTGACTTTTGTAGCTTTTATAAAACTAAAAAACATTGTTCTGACAAGCCAGGCGACTCTAGTGTATGAACACAACTTCTTTACAGAGAGTGAAAGTCTACCAAAATATCTGGTAGACTTTGTCATTGTTCATACCAGGGATAAGGGATAATGGGCTAGCAGTTAGAATGGAATATTCTTGAAGCATATTTTAAAATAGTCTTTAAGTAAATGGTTTAATTTCTACATAATTATTATGCTGAAGTGTCTTTTTTGACACTGTAAAAACTGATGCCTCAGTGTGCTTGATTTTAGCAGCTTAAAGCAGTACTTATTAAGGAAACATATAAATATGAAGTATCTCACGTTGAAAGTTATTGTATTATATTTTTAATGTAACAATGTAGATCTTGTTGGGCACATGAATGTGTATAACTATGTTAAATGCAAATGTTTTAGTCATCTTTTTTACTGTCATGATTAAAGACCTGACAAAGAACTAGTTTAGGGGAAGAAAAGTTTTTTGAGGGCTCAACAGTTTCAAGGTCTGTGTCCAGGCATAGTAGGCCTCATTCCTTTGGGCTTGAGGAGAGGCCTCATTCCAACATGGCAGAAGAGTGTAGCTGAGGTAAAAAGCTCATATGAGGATCAGGAGAGACTCCACCTGCCAGATACACAATATATATCTCAAAGCCATGCACCTGATGCCCACCTCCTCCAGAACACCACTCAGTTAATCCCCACCAGGTTCATAGAACAAACAACAACAAAAAGAATGCATAATGGGAAACTAGAATCCCCTTAGTGATTTGTGAATATTTATTATCATTTCCCTGATTATTAGTGATGTTGGACATATTTTATATATCTTTGGCCATTTATATGTCTTTGGGGAAATGTCTAGTCAAGTCCTTTTCTCATTTTTAAATCAGTATTTTTATTTTTTTCTACTGAGTTATAGGATTTTTAAAATATATATATTGGGGATTAACCTCATATCAGACATGATTGTGAATATTTTCTTTCATCCCATAGGTTACATTTTTGCTCTATAAATTGTTTCCTTTGCTGAGGTGATTCAGTTAAAACAGGGTCATTTGGGTGGCTCTCATCCAAAATGACCTGTGTGCATGTAAGAAGAGGAGATTAGGGTACAGACAGCAGAGGCAGAAGGGGGACCAGTTGAGGAAACACTGAGAAGATGTCTATCTGCAAGTCAAGGAGAGAGGCCTCAGGAGAAACCAAAGCTGCTGACAACTGGACTTTTGACTTAAATCCTCCAGAATTATGAAAGAATAAACTTTGTTGTCTAGGTCACCAGGTCTGTGGTATTTTGTAGTACAACTAGCAAAGTGGCACTTCATATATGCAGCCTACTGTGCAGATGGATGTGGGTACTGGAATGGGCCCCAGGAGTCGGGCGCATCATTTCCAATGCTGACTCAGGAGCCAGTTATGGAATAAATGAAAGATTAAGAGTTTCCTTTGGGGCAGTGGGAGTAATTACAATAACACAGGGATGGCAGGGCTGCAGAGACAGTGGAATTACAGCTGCGTATATCATCCTACCTGAGCAACTTTGCAGGTACCACCTGCAGAGTCCAGGGCTCAGAAGAAGAGCTCATGGGTGCTCAGAGGAGGGCTTCTCCAGACTGATTTTCTGTGCTGTGCTGAGTTGGTAGATTTGAGCCCAGTTCCCTGAACCTATTGAGGATTCCCAAGCAAACCTGGTATTTACTAATTTGTTCCTTTTTAATTTAATCAAATCAGAGTTCATTTCCATTCCTCACAAAATAAAAGCTCCGACATATATAGTCTCATTCCAGCATTAGATTTAAAAAGAGTCAGATCATCTTGAAGATATATTTGTAGAAATTGTAATAGTAGCAAACTTAACAGTGCTTCTCAAAGGTATCCAGTAGTTTCTGGGTTCCAACATTCTTCCTTCATTGAGTTCTTATCTGAATTCAACTGTATCTGCTTTTACTCTAAGCTGGAACCAGCATTCAATGCAGGAAGATAATGGACTATATTTCAGGTTCCTTCTGTGTCAGTTCTGCACACTTCACCATCCAGAGCCCATTCCATCAGTATGATGATATTGACGCCACCAGATGTCGTCAGTGTCTCCCTCTTCTTAGACTTAACTTTCTCTGTGTGTGTGTGTGTGTGTGTTTGTGCATGCACACACACTTCCACCCTTACTTGCTTGCATGTGTATTCAAAGCAAAGGACTGAGTTTGCTGCTGACTGGCTGGGTAAAAAAATCGAGACTCCGGGGAGGGGGAACGGAAGACTAGATAAATGTTCAGCAATGGGAACTCTTCTGACTGAGGAACTTGGCTCCCTTTTAGGGCACAGAGCTGTGCCTCCTGTGATCCCAATAAGGAAGGAAGATGCAGAAACTCCTGAGAGTGTGTTTGGTGACCCTGTGGCTTCAGTTGGCCAGTGAGTGGGGTGGGCTGGTGGAGATGGGAACAGGAGACTAGAATTTAGAGCCCACATGCTAGACAGATGAGGTCTTCCTGTGATTTGGGGAACAGGATTTGAAAGTTCAGTAGTGACTTCTTGTCTCTGGCTTCATTTCTGCCTAGGGGTGAACAGCCAACAAGAAGAAGAGAGCCCTCGGGTCCTGAGTGTCCAGGAGGGCGAAAATGCCACCATGAACTGCAGTTACAAAAGTAGTACTACCACTCTGCAGTGGTATAGACAGGATTCAGGTAAAGGTCCTGCTTTGGTGATCTTAATACGCTCAAATGAGAAAGAAAAACACAGTGGAAGACTAACAGCCACCCTGGACACCTCCACCAAAAGAAGCGTCCTGTCCATCACGGCTTCCCAGGCTGCAGATGCAGCCACTTACTTCTGTGCTACAGATGCACAGAGATCAGCAGGCACCTGCAGCCCTGACGCAAACCCTGCCAGGGCTGCTTCCCAGAAGCCCTGACCATGGGTGGACTTGGTGGTTTCACATTCTCCATGTGGTGTGAGGAGAGTCTGTTCAAATTTGTGATTTTTTTGAAGCATTTTGGAATAGGGTTAAGGTCATGAGATATGGAAAGGGAACAGCAATGCCAGGCTCAGTTCTGCCCACCTTGGCTCCATGTCCTCAGGCTCATCCTCAGTATAGGTGCCTTCTATATCCTAACATGACTTGAAGGATTTCAGTCCCTGATTCGAAATGATTTTTCATATTCTAATTTTATCAGGAAAAAAAGTAAGCCCTGTACACCAGCAGAGGACAAGGAAAGAATGCTCAGTATTGGAAGGTGTTTTAGTCAGGTTCTTTTATTTTCTTTTTTTTCCTCCTGTGACTTAAAGATCTGAATAAAACAATTTTAGAAGAGTAAAAGTTTATTTGGGGGCTCACAGTTTCAGAGGACTCAGTCCACAGAAGTCTGGCTGCATTTCTTGGTGCTTGAGGTAAGGCAGAACATCATGGCAGAAGAGTGTGGCAGAGGGAAGTGGCTCACATGATGATTTAGGAAGCAGAGAGAGACTCTATTAGAGAGAAAATATATAACCTAAAGCCATGCCCCCAATGCCACACCTCCTCCAGCTGCACACTACCCACCTTCAATTGCCACTCAGTTAATCCCTATCACGGGATTAATTCACTGATTGTTAAGAGTCTCATAACCTAATCATTTCTCCTCTAAACCTTCTTGCATTGTTTCACATGTGAGTTTTTTTCGGGGGGGGGGGACTCCTCACATTCAAATTGTAACAGAGAGTCTCACCTGTCCTACTGCAGTGCTAGACCCATTTTATCTCAATGTCCTCAGGCTCATCCTCAGGGGGTCTTTTAGTTGCCTGAGATGACTCTTGCTTTCCTCTGGTTCCAGGGAGTGATGAACTCTTAGGCATTGGGGTTAGGAGGGATCTTAGGATGTGTCCAAGCAAATCTTCCATCTCACAGCTGAGGATTGAAGCTGTTGTGTGATAAGAGAGGGAAACATCGGAATTGGATTCTGCCATTTAAGGGTTGTGTAATTTCCAAGCCACAACTTCTACATGAGGAAAAAGGAAATCTGTAAGAAAGTCTTAGTTTCCCCATCAAACAGGAGAGTATATTCTCTATGGCCAGGACCTAAAATGCTGTGGTGTGAAAGGCTTCTAGGATCAAGTACATTGGTTTTCCATCTATTTATTCTCACTCCTATTAAAATAAGTAAATGCTGACTATGGTTTTCTTGACACATTTTTGAAACTACTGAAAATGTGTTTGTGGAGAAAATCAGAGCATATATTTATAATGCATGCTTGATGAGAAAGATGCAGGGGGAGGGGAAACATAGGTCAGCACTGTGGTTCCCAAAAGCCCCACCTTGACCTGCCAGCATCACCTGTGCCAGAGGAGCCCAGAGCACCACAGAAGTTGTGGACTACTGGGCTCAGTTCTGGCTCACTCAGCGGGCTCTGTCAAGGTGATGAGTTTGTTTTTTTAATGAATATATCAGCCTTATTTAGAGATTGACAGAGCTTCTTGTTACAGAAGACCCCAGGAGTGTTTTTAACAAGGAGGAGGTTACTTTTCTCTCATATAAAATAGTTGTATATAAAACAGGGCTGTCATTTGTTGGGGGCTTCATCATGTTGTAAGGGACCTCAGGTCTTTCCAGCTTAATGTTTCTCATCCTTCAGGTGTTCCTGTTGTGTTTACATTTCCCCCTCCAAAAAAAAAAAAAAAAAACCTGCTAGAGAGCCTTTCATGTCATACCCCTCCTAGGCAGAGAGAAGATCACAGTCTATGGGTACTTGCTGGCAGAGGAAGTCCTTTCCTGAAGCCCCATTCAGCAGTCTTCATTGACATTTCACTCACCAGTCACCAGATGTGCCCCCCACTCCCACCAATGGAGGGGTAGATGGGGTTCCAGGACTTCTTTTAAAAAATGTGCCTATGCTGCCATCCACATCAAAATAGAGTTCTATTTTTAAATTTGGAATTTTCTGTTGGATGAC